AACTCGCTGATTTCTTAATTTTACAAAACAGTGTTCTTGATAAAAATCAACAGGAAAAGGCAAGTACATAGGTAATAACCCCAAGGCCGAAATTCAAACCAACTGTTCCATGCAATGGCTGACAGGTTATTAGCAAAACTCCAGTCTCAACAGATAGCGATTAGGGTTTCTGGGTATAATACAAGTAGCACACAAAAAATGAAGCTCAAGATGATTCAGGAAAAGATTGCTATCTGTATATGTGTAACACTACATATTGTTAAATAATATTTAATAAATTGCAATACATAATATATAATAAGTATTATTACACATTTTAAAATTATATTCAACATATAGAAATCATATATATGTACATGCTTCTCCACATTTTTTAGGGGGCCACTAAACTCTTAGCCAGGATCTTGAAGCCAGGTGTCAGGTTTACAATTTAGCAGCCACCTTCTAAGGCAGAGCACAGAAGAGATTCCCAGTTTGGGCAGTTCCCTGGGATAAGGTTTTCCTTTTCCCAGATCAAGTAGCTGCAGAGACTCATGGCACTAGGGACCTTGCCAGGCTTTTCCTGCCCCACAGGGGAAGGGGGCTGTGGAACAGACCTGAGGGTTTTGAAGGGGGTGGCAGGAGCAAGGTCAAAAGTAACACCCATGATCTGCTGGGTGGAAAAGGAAAAGGCAGACTCTGGATTCCAAGCACCACCTCTGGAGCGGACCTGAGATTCTATCTTCAGCTCACTCTATTGTAAATGGCTGTCCTGCGGGGTCAGAACTCCACATGCAGATTGGGCAGTAGCTTCTGTGACCTCAGCCCCAGTAGCTGGAGTCTGGGATAAAAGCCATGGTTGTCCCAAAGGACCAGTCAGCTTCCATCCGCAGAACTGTTGCACTTTCCTTGCAGAGTTGCTAATGGATATTTGATGGCTGGTGTTTTTGTAGCAAGAATCAGACCGGCAACAACAATAAGGTTTCCACATTGACCTGGAGATTGTGCTCTGCACCAGACAAGACACAGACGTAAAGAGATGGGCTCCATGTCTGCTGGGCTTGGTACCTGAACGTTAAGGACACACATGAAGGCTTGGGAAAGGCACAAAGATTCATGAAGTCCAGGGCAGGTGATAAGAAGACTACCTGTAGTTTGCGCTGGTTGGATTTTTGTGTGTGTGTGTNCACATGAAGGCTTGGGAAAGGCACAAAGATTCATGAAGTCCAGGGCAGGTGATAAGAAGACTACGTGTAGTTTGCGCCGGTTGGATTTTTGTGTGTGTGTGTCTGTTTTGCAGGCATTTTGTGAAAGAGCAAATCTGGAGGTGGAATCTGAAGGCGGGTAAGATTGGATGGACTTTGAATTACAAAATTACGACTCTAATTTCTGCATTCAGCTCGAGGCTCTGTTGCCTGCTCTTGCCACACACATACACACACACACGCACACGCACACGCACACACACCCATTATACCGCGCAAAGCCCTGTCGGGAGGCTCCTCGGTGGATTAGGGTGTTACATAAGCCCTCGGCGGGCGGGGAGATGTTTTTTGTGTGTTCCAGAAGCGGCGGCGGCGGCAGAGTGGCTCAGGTTGATTTAGAAGCCGGATGACAGCGGCCTGGCGCGAGCCCAGGGCTGACGAAAGCTGC